ATTTTAATTTACATATAGTTTTTTTCTTTACCTCTTTTTTTTTATTATTAATATTATTATTGTTATAATTACTATTCATCTGTTATCCTAGAGGAACCTGAAATCGAACTCTGAGTGCCTGAATGTAAGGCTCTTTATATACTAGAGTCGTAGTGCCAAACTGAACAAGGCAAAAGCCAGTGCTCATCAAAATCGTATCTCAGAAATTGGGGCATAGTTTCTACCTGTCAGAGCACCCAAGAGGCGTGTTTTTGGTGCGTACATATAACAGCATAGCATAACAATAACAATTCCAAAACAATCTCATGCAACTAGGGTCGTTTTGGTCCCGATTTCGAGCAGATTTACTGTTGCATACTTTTTGGAGCACAGATTCGTGGCGTGCCACGTTTATTATGAAATTGTTGAAGTGCTAACAAGAAATATGTTATGGAACAATTGAAAGTTGGCTGCGAATTTTTGGAGTGTTCAATTACATTTCATGTGCTGCACAAACAAAAGTGGCTGGAGTGGGCGGTGCGCTGGCCGGAGATGGCGGGAGGCAGTACTTAACGCCTCTTGTTGATGGTGTTTGCTCGTGTGTTGCCAACTTTTCCAGCACTGTTGTTGTTTATTGTTGTTGCTGTTGCGTAAAGTTGTTTGCATATATTATTTCTATGCATACGAAGCTGAGGTTGACACAAAGCGCCAAAGACACTCAGCGACTCATGCGTGTGTGGTGGCTGGAATTGGGATGGGGTCGGAATCGCAGTCGTAGTCGGAGTTGGAGTCGGAGTTGGAGTCGGAGTCGGAAGACGGCAACACCCACGCATCAAAATTAATGATATTTTAATGTAAAAACAATTCCAGCCACTTAAGCCCCATTCATACCCATTGTGTCTGCATGTGCATGTGTGTGTCCGTATAAGTGTGTGTGTGTGTGAGCATTTCAATTTATAAGCCAAAGCCCATGACGTAGTCCGTATTGAGCATGGCCATGGAAATTGAGCCCCGGCAACGAAAGGCAGCCCCACACAATAGCACGTCAGAAAGTTTCAGTAGAGCGTACTCAACTAATTGATACCCTGCAGGCAAAAAGTAATCTCTATCGCCAGGTCGATAATTTGGCGATACTTTCAGGAAGACTTGCCACATAATTTGTTCATGGAGAAAAGCATGTTATTGTATATTACACTTATTAAACACAAGGCTTTCATGTAAGGTTTTCAAAATGTTGCGAAACGTGTGAAATATCTATCAAATAAATTTATACAAAATTCTCTGAAGATAAGTTTGGGTTTGATCGAAAAGAAGAAACACAAGTTTCATATAAACGCTATTCGCGATGTTCCACACAGGCGGAAGCTTTCTTCTCCCTTCCTACGATTTGGGCTGTGCTTTGAACACCCATCAATCAATCAATCATCATACAGTCTTTCAGTCAGAAAAGACGCTTATTTATGTACACAGACTTCCGGTAGCATCATAAATGCCCATTCGTCAGTAGAGCACACTTCTGCATAATTCCAAAAGGGTGCAGGGTATTCAAAGACAAGAGGGAACTTTCCCATTTTTGGCAGCACAAGTTAATCCCTCTTAAATAATAGCAAACTACAGTGCTTCAAAAATCAAATTACATATAAAGTTTTTTTATATTTTTGATATTTTGTTATATTCACTTTTTTTGTTTTGTTGCTGGCTTTGCGCAGAATGTGGCACAGTTTTTCGGGCCGCAATTGTTTGTTCTCGTTATTATCATGCTGTTCGTCTTTGTTCCGCTTTTGTTGTCTGCCTCTCAATCTACGCGCTTTGTACAATGTACAAAAGGGTCAGCGGGTTGGGCAGAGTCAGAGAAGCGGACAAAAAATATGAAATGTAAGCTGGGAACGTAATATTGAAGTTGCCGCTTTGTGTTGCATTATCCGAGTGCTGCCTGAAGGGGGCCGCGACCCTTTCGAAGCGCCATCGACAAAAAAAAAAAAAATATATATATATAAAAAGTATTCAATTTTCATTTGATTCTGAATGACAAATTGCGACGGACAAAACGCAGAAGAGTTAGCCGGAATGGCACACAAGATAATTGACAAAATTGTTCAACATTTGCCCTAACTATATATGCCCAAGAATTGACAAAACCGAAAGTGAAACTTGGCGTGAAATATCCACAACAGAGATAATTTCTGGGATGGCACGTAAATTTATTTGCTTCGTATTTATGAAGGGTCGACAGTTTCGAGTTTCAACCCATGCATTTAGTATATGCTTATGAAGTTTCAATTAAAAGCAAGAGGCCTAATCACAATACGACAATTTCTAATAACATCCCCGACACCTTCGGGTCCGACCAGTCCCATTCTCACAGCTAGTTTGGAGTCTACAGCTTAAGAGCAAAGTGCTAATAGAGAAAATAGTATTCTGAAGTAGTTATTAAAATTAAATCTTAATTAACTATCAAAGTTGGGGAAAAGGTAACTAAGGAGAGTGAAGAAATTCGTATAAGAATAAAGACAGATGGAGCAACACAATAATGTAAATAGGTTACATTAAATAGAAATATGGGAAATCACTGAAAAACATAACTGTAACTGATTTGCTCAATAGGAGTTTTGATAGTCTACTTAAGATTTCAAGTCATCACAAATGACTCTGAGAGAGTCTAAGACCATTTTATTATGTTTCGTGTATTAAGCCTATTTGTTTGCTATTTCAATTGAATTCCATGTATAACAAAATTGAAGTCAAGCTCGAACCAAGGCCTCAGTTGAAAGACATGACAATCCAGAGTAACCTAACGAAGCAAGCCAAAAACTTGGCTCGAACCAAGAATCAAATTAAACAAAATTTGTAAATGACTTGCAACTTTAATACCTTTCAATATGATCAAAATCGTCAAGGGTTCAGCTCCTATAAAGCACAATCCATAGTGCACTCACAATAAACTCGACACAAATGTTCCGATACATAACTAACTTTAGATCGTTCAATTTGCTATAAAGGCTTTCCTAGTTTTAATAATCATGCGCCTGCCGGCAAGGCAACTGGGCGAGCTTTGCAACTGGTCCCAAGAAGGAATCAAATATAATGTGAGAGTACGTTAAGCGCCGGAGCTCGAGTTCTGTGTGCAGATGGATTTAATGTTATATTATGTAGCAAATGTTTTGCTTTGGCATTTAATGGACTTTTTGATCAATTTGCTGGAGGGGCGTCGAATATCAAAGCGCCAACTTGTATCCAGTTCTCTGACAATTTAATGAAATTGGAACTGAAACCAGTTCCTGGTACTTAGAGCCGCAGGCGCAAAGAACTCAACAACTTGTCCATAAGTGTAATTAAATTTACGCATGCGACCTGTTGCTGTTGTTCTTGTTGTTGTTGCCTGTTTTGATGGGGCGCCTCAAAGCAGGCTTTGATTTTGAGGCTGGGGCAAAATCAAAGCCCGAGCAAGACAAGACAAGACAAGCCGACGACTGACAGCTGCTGGGCGGGCAGTGGGCGTGTCAATAGGCATTAGTACAACCAGCCGCTAAGCTCAGCATGTGTGTGTGTGTGTGTGTGTGTGTGTGTGTGTGTGTGTGTGTGTGTGTGTGTGTGTGTGAATCTCTGTGATGTGCGCTTTACTCTCTAGAGACTTAGCGCTAATTCACTTTTACGCGACCAACTAAATTAATTGCAGACATTTTGCCAATCATACGCAGTACACACATAAACACACACGCACACATAATCACACACACACACACACATAAATAAACACACACAGACGCAAGCACACACCTCAGCCAGCAGTACGTGCGTGGCAGTGAAATTGTCAACTTGGGCACTCGCCTCACTTGCAATTGCCAACAAATTTGCCAACTTTAAGTACGTGCTGGTGCACCTTTGCCATGGCACTTGCCCTTGCCCATTCATGCTCATGGCCAAAGCCAGGCCACCTCCCGCCGCCCACACCTGAGATCGCAGCAAGTGTGATTTATATATTGTGGTGTGCACAGTTACTTGCAGACACCGCCATCTGGGCCGTTTCAGCCGTCTGGGCTTGTCTCGGCACCCACGCATGAAAAATCGACGGCAACATCTGAAATGCGCATAAATTACGCACAGAAGACCAGCTCGGACCTACCGCCTCGCACTCTGAACCACGTACCTTGCGGAGGGCCACCAAACCGTGCCCATTCAAGCGTCTAATAGCTATGATTCAATTAGAGGTCCAGCGGTGTCTTGAAGAACTTGCTCTTCTCCTGCTGCTGCTGCTACTGCTGCTTTCTCATGTGTGCTAATCAATTGCAAATTGGGCGCCCATGGAATGCATTGAGCAGCTCTTGACCTTCATCTGATGGGCGCCCATTATTGGTCGAGGGGGAGGCAGGGATAAGAGCTTGTTATTTGCTTAAGTGCTTTGGCTTTAGCGGGCAAGCTGTTTTACATTTGCCTGATCATTAATTATAATGTCTAACAAAGCCAAAAACGAGCTCCAACTGACTTTAAAATGTTGCCCAAATATTCGCTTACCAAGCATTCTCATCCCTGCCTAAGAGCCTTTTTAGATAGAAGAGCGAAGCACTAGAAACATAATCGGTAACTGTTTCGATAGAGACTTAAACGCATGTGGAGCTGCACATGAACTTATTTAAATACCCTTTAGATGAACTATAGTTAACATTTCAAGTTTTACTATTCTGGTGAATTAGCTGTGCTTGACTAAATACATAAACATAATAGTAGATACCACAAGCTTGCATTCCAACATACTCAACTGCATCATAGTTTACCCATCTATTTGAAGCAAGGTCGTATGCAGAAAGGGTTCTAATCAGGTTTTGAATTGCTGACAAATTTACCAAATATTCTCTGCCTCGGACATTCCTTATTTTTAGATAAATATTTGAATTTCACTCACCAATCTACTCATTTTAGGCCGAGCCAATTGTTTAGGGCTAGGTTAGACTATCTGCTAACTCGTAGAGAGCGTAGAGCGTGATCAACTCACTTCTCATTTAAAGAAATCAAATCAGCAATTGGTCATGATATCCAGATACTGGAGTTTATTATAGTTACATATAGGCATCTCTTTGCCGCTGGCGACGCTGACGATCCTTCTCCTCCATATAGGGTATAATCGAGGCCTTTGTAGGCAGGATGACCACAATGGGCAGCATTTTTTTGCACTTGTCCAATACATGATTCAAACGCTTCGCCGAGGGATAGTCAAGCAGAATGATGCCGATATTGGGGCGTTTGTATAAGGCTTGAAAAAACTCCTCAAGCTCGTCGAGCGTGGTGCCTAAAAAAGAGTATAGAAATGCAAAAATTGATAAGCGATCAAAATGTATTGACAGTACGAACCATGTTCAACCATTAGATAGTTGCGAAAGTTTTCACGATGATAACCGATGCCGGCAAGCAGTAGACCCAGGGTTACCTCCTGCAATCGATAAATGTAATATGGTATATGCATTTTGATATTTTATATAATCGATTTAGTATCATTGCTTTGCTTTGTTTCTAAAATGTTGTACAAATTGTATATCTGTTGGAGGTACAGCTTCACTCACAGAGTTCATTTGGTACGTTAAGTGTTAGATGGTGAGGTATTTGGTATGTGGTATAGGGGCATAGCAAGTTCCGAATGTTAGCTGTACTTACTGTATCGGCTATGACACCGATACGTATTACTGAAGGGTCCTCGGGCTCCTCTACTATCAACTCCTCCTCATCGGACTCCTCTTCGCTCTCCTCATCGCTTGCGTGCTTTTTCTGCTGAGCCTTTTCACTCATTGTATCTGGATATTAGATTTGTTTTGTTTTATTTTATGTTGTGCTCAAACTGAATGTGAATAGCTTTCTATCGGAGCACTTTGTTTAGTTTCGTTTGTCAGTTGAAAGTTGCGTCAAAAGTGCCACAATTTTTAGCTGAAGCCCTGCCCTGTTTCCGACATTCTGCGGGTGCTAACTCGAACCCCAAGCTGCTGTGTTTGCCCATGTTTATTTTTTATGACTTTTTAATGAGTTTCCAATAAATAGCAGTTACCACACAGCCCCGCCCTCACAACCACCCTGCAACACACACGCACATAAAGCAGCCCGAAATTGCAGAGCTTAAGCCTTAAGCCGGCAGATTGTGGCACAGCAATGGCTATAGATGGAATCCAAACTGAAGCTGGAGCCAGGGCGCTTTGTTGCTGTGTTGCTCCGTTGCTCCGTTGCTGGAGTGCCAAAATTAGTTTTTTCCTCTCACTTATTTTGCATTCATTTTAATTATTAAATTTGCGTTGGCTTTGGCCTGCTGCCTTGCCTCGAAAAATTGAGCCCAAAATGAAAATTCAATTATGACATGAGTTTACAGATTTCCTTGCCCGGAGCCCTCTTTGCGAGCGTGTTGCCCAATGGCATTGACGGCATTGAGACGGCATCTTTGTGGCTACTTTTAGAAAATTTATTAACTGCGACTTAACGAAAATTCGTTTACTTTGCGTTTTTTGTTATTTGTTATCCAGTTGATTAAGTCACTTGCCCCATCCCCAGCGCTCTGCCACCGCAAACTGGGCCAACCCTACCTTCGAATCGCAGACACTTGTAGCGCATCCCTATTTGGGTTCGATACATCGAACATTCTGTAAAGTTTAACATGTTTATAACTGTCTAGAAATAACATTGCAGCGCTTTCATAACAGCTGCACGACTGTTAAGGGGCTGTTAGCCAACAAGTGTGATAGCTTGTAACAGTTGAGCTTGTTGAAATAGAAGAAAAGGGGGGGCTAGTCATTTCCCTACCTTCCACATACGCATATACTTGTATCAAGCTAAAATAAACGTTTGTTTTCGGCTGGGTTTTCAAAGGGCTTCCTTCACCTCTGACACAGCGCTTAAGTATTGCGGTAGATGAAAGGATGTAAGTATCAGTGTCGCTTCAGAGAATTACCAAACTCTTCAATCATAATCTATAAATAGCTTGGCGCCTGCTTATTTGCTTATTAGGTAACAACTTCGATGGCGACTGTCAGACGTCTGATTAATCTAACCGCACTGAAGGCGTACAATCAGTTGGCCAGAACTGGGGCTGACAAGGAGGCTGAGACTGAGACTGCGACTGCGACTGAGACAGGCAACTGACAACTGACAACTGGCAACAGGCAACAGGCAGTCAAAGTTCAAATTGTTTTTGTTTTACTTTTATTTTGTGCTTTTTCTTTTTGCAACTCGTCAAGTTACATAAACAAGTTAGCCAGCAGAGCCCACACACACATACACACACACAGACACAAGGGGGAAGCCCAAGCGCAAAGAAAATGTGGCAGAAACAAGCAGAAGACGTAGTCTGAATAATCCAAATTACGCTATGAATAAAGCTAGTTTATCTTTATCAAGTAGCAAATGATTATCTAACCAAATATCATAGATTTTTTTTGTAAATATTTGGACTATCTTTGTATATTTATTTGATTTATCTAAATGCTATAAAATGTCGTGTTTATTTTGCAACAAATAGCTTAAATAAAACATTTTCAAGCTCTAGCAGCTGTATATTCAAAGTTCCTTGGGGTCATTGAGTGTATTATGACTCCTTTTGACACTGTGAGAACAGCTGTAGATTATCTTAAATTCATTTTACAGTTCTTAGAAGGAAACTACGTTGAAATCTTAATTATTTTCATGCTCGCTTGGTATGAATATGCCTGTAAAGAAATTTTGATAGCTTTGGCAGCCAAAAGCATTGCGTTCATCTTTTTGTGTCACCTTAAATGTAGCTTTCAAGTCGATAGGATTTGCGATACTTTCTTTGCCGCCCGCTTGCACATATTTGCATGGCCTTTTTTCTGAAGGTGAAGGGGGCAGGGACAGAGACAGAGCCGAAAAACAAAAAACCAAAAGACAAATTGACAGGCGCCATTTGGGCATTGACTTTGGCCCCCGGTGCCAGGGGGCGTGGCACGCAAGCTGACAGCAGAGTTTTGTAAATGAAAGTTATCTGGATTTTCATTTGGATTTGGATTTCGATTTCAATTTAATGTGAGCAGCTCTCAAAAGCCAAACAATACACGAAAATGCCGAAAGACAGAGGACTGAGCGACTTCTAAGGAGCTGGTTTAACTTAAAGGGTTGTTGTTGCCAAAACATGTTGTTCATGTTGTTCATGTTGTTGTTGTTGTAACGAAAGGCAACCACACACACACACACACACACACACACAAGCAGATAGACAGGCAGACAGATGGTAAAATTATTATGTTCAAAGTGAATATTACGTTAACCGTAACATGGGTCGTTGGGACGGACAGACAGACAGACAGACAGACAAACAAAAAGTCTGGCTGAGGGCAGAAATGACACAGTTACAAGGCAAAACATGCGGCAAATTGTAGTTAAGTATGAAGTACGTGAGCGAATATTTTAGAGACTTTTATGATTATATTTCAGTATATGGCTAATACGTTTAGGGGGCGGGGTGCTTGGCAATTGCAGCCCTGGGAAACTGGATCAAACAACTATTTGATGTAGCATCAAAGAATTCTCTTACTAAACAAGAGAGCGGGACTGGGAGAGAGGGAGAGGAAGTGAGGGATAGGAAGAGGCAGAGGGAAGTGAGCTGGAATAGGTCGATAGGTATACCTTCTGCAGCCCAGCCGTATCTTAAACTTTTCTTTTTCTTGAACTGGAGTTGAGTTAACCCAACACAAGCGATAGAAGATTCACAGAAAAATGTGAACTGGTCTCGTAAGTGAAATTATGAACCTGCTTGTCTTAGCTACAGGGCATCGGATAGTCGAGCTAACTGCTTTTAGGCCTGCAGCGCAAATGAACACAACAATCGCATAAGCGTGCATTTCAAAAAGGCAGGCAGACAAATTTCAATACATTTGCGCATTTTTGGAATTTCCCCGTTTGCCGCCCTGCCCTGCCCGCCCCTGGCACCACCAGCTATGACCTGAGCATAAAAAGTGCTTGCAATGTGCGCTGCAGGCCGTCGACTGCAAGCAGCAAAGCCTTTAGGACCAACCCCCCCCCCACACACACACACAGACACACACACACACACACACACACACACACACACACACACACACACACACACACACACACACACACACAGATTTTGGATTGTCCTTGTTGTGTAGCATATGTGTACACGTGGGTGGGTGGGTCAAATGTGGTGCGGCTTTAATAACAGCGTAAATTGCGTAAGCTACCAACAACCATTAATAACTTTTCTGCACCTGAGCGCAACCAAAAACAGAAGCTGCCAACCAGCGGGCGGCCGAGACCAGAAGAGAAGAATTGAGCAAATGGCCAAGGAGGGGGTGCGATATGGTAGAGCGGCGCACTGGGCGTATGCTCAATTTCAATGGGGAAACAAAAAAACTGACGTGCGCGTGGGTGTGTCTTTGTGACTGTGTGTGTGTGTGTGTGTGCGAATGTGTGTGTCAATTGTTTGCCTTTTGCTGTCTGCTGCTATTTCATTCAACGGATACACAAGCCCACACAAAATATTGTATATTTTTGTAGACATTGTATAGGCTGCTCATATACCCTGCACAAATGCGGCCGAGTCTAGTGGGCTTAGGCTACAAATGTAGACATGAAGACATGAGACATTTAAGGCTCATAACAGCCTCTATCCCTTAATGGATGAAAGGAAAGGATTAAGGAAGTCAGAGGCTCCAGGAATATTGATAATAATAATAATAATAATAATAATACTTGTGTGCTTAAATTGTCTATAAAAACAAAAAAAAAAACAAAATAATTCTATATTTGAGTTAGACGTTGTGCTAGTTTTTTGACGTAATCCTCACCCAAATGCGCCTATGCCAAAGTAACCCCAGTTCCAGCTCAAAAGACTCAGAGGCTGACAATGGTATTTGGTATGCCGACTTTCATCTGACATGAAAAATTGTTTGAAATTTTAAATAATCCTGAAAGTCCCTCAATATTATAAAGCTTTAATGTGTATATGTGACACGGGGCGTAATTAAATTTGTTTTCGTGCCATACTCAAAATATGCCGGCAAATGAAACTCGAGATGCTAGATAAAGGATGCTCTCTAGAGAGAGTGCAGGGTGCAGACTTGTTAAGAGCACTCTTATGTTTTCTGTGCGCGCGTGTGTGTGTGTGTGTGTGGGTGTGATGGCTGCTGCCCATTTAATTATTGATTTCAACATTGAGGTGATTAATATTTTCGTAACGTACCCGAAACGAAACGAATCGAATTAAATGGCCTCGAGTGGTTGTTGATTGTTTTTATGTGGCGTCATAATTGCATTTCCTTGTTACAGCCATTGTGCGTGTGTGTGTGTGAGTGTGTGTGTGAGTGTGTGGGTGAGTGTGTGGGTGGGTGTGTATGTGTGTCTTTGGGTGTATGTAGCGACTAGTGCACTTTAGGCATACGCACCGCAGGCCAAATGACAAGAGCAGCGGCTAACCACAGCTGAGTTGCCGCAGATTAGAATTGCTAATTGTCGAACACTGAAACGGCAGCGCCCTCTGGCGTTCGGATTGTGCAAATTGCTTTTTGTGCTAAGCAAGTATTTTTACATTTTCTTTTACTTTTTTTTTTTTGATTTTCAATCCAAAGTAGCAGAAACACTTTCAATGCAGCTTTAGATCTGAGATAAAGTTCTTTGCGCGTTAAGGTTTTTCCTCTAGTTTTTCCCTGTGTGTGTGTGGGGGGGGAGTATTGGGGAAAGTTAGTCGCAGTTGCGGCAAAATTTTTTTTTTAATACTAGTTACAATTGTAATTCTGTCATTTAATTAAAGCAACACTCGATTAACGGTTGCCCAACTGTTGCCTAATGGCAAATCCATTCAAGCGACAAACCCGAAAAAGTATGCTACAATTTTGC